TCGATGCGTGAAGCCCCTAACTCCTAAACTCTTCCCTTTTTTCCTTAAACCCTAAACCCTTGACTCATATTCCTTTGCACCCTTTTGCGTCCCTCTCCATTTGAACATTAAATTACTTCCACTTATGGTTGCCACCGCTCCCTGTCCCAAAATATTCTGATTAAAGTGTTTCGTTATCTCTTCCTCTTGCTCTGGTCGGGAATGTATTTGCTTCCTTACTGCTTTCCACTGAGCCCTGATCCGTTTCAAGGAGTGTGAGGAATATCCCCCTTGCTTCCTGCTTGTGCATTGGCCGACCTTCAATCGTAATTTGGCACCGATGCTTCCAACTGGTCCAGAGACAATATTGACGTATTAATTTATACATATGCTTCTCAAAAGTCTGCCAATGTTTCAAAATTTGGAGACCCAGTAATAGAGTTGTCTTGGATTCAGGGAACTTAGCCTTTGAGATCTGGCCCCATTCCCCATATCATGATTGCTTCCTCACATTCTATGAGGCAATGTTGCATGGTTTCTGGGATTCCCCCCTGACACACTCTACATGCCGCGCTCTCCGGATTTCTCTGCCTCAAGCTTCTACGCTCATTCAACCACACATTAATAGGAAGTGCCACATGAGCTATTAGCCATTGCATGCTTCTGACTGAACCCAGACGTATGGCCACAATGCTTGACCATGGTATTTTACCCAATTGATTGCGGGGAACCCCTACTCTCTTCTCCCAACGCTTCAGCAAATGCGGCATAAGCGCATGAGAACGCCTCCTCAACTTATACCCAATTCTGGTGGTATAATGCAGGATGTTGATTCTTCTTGCTGCTCCTGTTTCTCCGCTTCTCATGTTCCAGGCCCATTCTGCTGGATCCACTTCCAAATCTTCCAGTGGTACCAATGGATTGAATATTGTGAATTCATTTGTCTCCACCACCTTAACCAACCGCAGGTACTGTTTGAGATTGACGATCGACACTTTGGATGCCATGTCCAAGAGAGAAGTAGTGTTGGGAGGGTGGAGTATGGCATACTTATCTGCATGAAGCCAATCCGGCCTAGAAGTATCTTGGTTCCAAACCCTAAAGACTTCCTTGGGTTCGTTGTCATCATTCCATGTGGCCTAGTCACCCTGACCCCACCGTATACCTTGCTGTAGCAGTTGCACCCATCCTTGCGGTATAGCTCCCAATATGATCTCACGATTGTCAGATAGTCTGTGGCATCCTTTTAAGTGTACCCTCAGTTCTTCGAATGTTTTCCATCTATTTTCCTTTTCTTCCCAGATGTGCTTTACCTGCCACACCCCGTGCTCTAGCCACTTTCCCCACTTTGCATCCTTCACCGACAGTGTTAGTGGTTTCCCTTGCCCGTCCTTAATGCTCAGGTTGCAGAATAAAGGTTGTCTAATTACTTCTTCTCTCGTGTTAGGCTCCTTGACTTTCGTCGGAAAGATATCTTTCCATAACTTCAGCAATTGTCCCCAATAGGATGTCCTTCTAGCCTCTTCCTCCGCCTCCTTATTACCCCTTTCGTTTCTGCCCACCCTAGCCCAATTGCTGCACATTACCCAAAACAAACCCGACATATTCTGAGGCGTTTTATATTTGGCCATTTGTCTTATCCTATGCAGAACTAGAGGGGTCCATGATAACTTATGTTGGGATATTAGCCTAGTTACGCACTTGGTTTGTAGCGCCTTGAGTTGGGTATCCGGGTCTAGAATCCCCAACCTTCCCTGATGCTTTGGTCTAGTGACATATTTCCGAGCCACTTTGGATATGAACCTTGAATTGGTAACTTTGGCTGTCCATAGATACACCGCCGCTCTTCTTCTCAATAATGTCGCCGTGGTCCGTGGTGGTGTCCATATTGACCATGCATACCATAGCATGGAGAATATGGACGCGTTGAGTATAAGGGCCCTCCCGTAAACAGATGTGTACACTGCTGACCAAGACCCCAGCTTAGCTAGAATTTTTGTCATTATGTCTGCTGCCATCGACTGATGTGTCCCTACCTCAGTAATCTTAACCCCTAAATATCTAATAGGAACTCGCGCCGTTGTCCATTTCAACCCCTCCAGACTGTTAATCGGGAGGCTGTCTTCTTGGTCGTGCTCTACCAACCACCATCCCTCTGTTTTCTGCCAATTGATCCTCATTTCCGATGCAAGCTGGAAGGCCTCCATGGCTTTTGTTAATGCCTGAAACGATGAGTCCGATGCCCTTATGAGCGTCGTCAGATCATCTGCAAGCAGGAGAGTTGTAGGAAGATGAATAATGTGTCCCTGTTGATCCGGTACTGCTACAAGCCTTTGGATTGATGGATCCCTACGTAAGAAGGATGCCACCGCCTCCATTATGAATAGGAATATCAGAGCGGCTAGGGGGTCTCCCTGCCTAACCGACCTCGACATCCTGTAAGTCGAGGATAAGTGTCCATTAACCTCATTGTAGAGAACTCTTACCCATTTCCTGAAGTTCGGACCTACTCCCATCTTTTCCATGCATTACTGTAGGAATGGCCATCTGACTTGGTCGTATGCCTTTTCAAAGTCGAAGAACAAAATAGCGGCATTAATCCTCTTATCCTGGATGTATCGTACCGTTTTCATGAGCGTCATCACATTGTCTAAGATGAACCTTCCCGGTATAAACCCTGTCTGATCTATATGGAAACAACTCTTTGTAATTGTCGTGAGTCTATTCGCTAACACCTTAGCGACTATCTTATGCGTCAAAGTCAGCAATGTTATCGACCTATAATTGCGAATATCCGATGGATTTCCTTTCTTGGAGAGTAGCCTGACTATTCCTGTTGCTGGGTCCTGACCCAGTCCCTCCACCTGCCACGCCTGCTCAAGAAATGCCAGATATTCGTCGCCCAAAATTGGCCAATATTCCAGCCAAAATTCTCTAGTTAGTCCGTCTTTTCCCGGGGTCTTGTTTGGAGCCATAGACTTTAAAGCTTCCCATAGCTCCTCCTTCGTCAGTGGGGCATCCAGTTTTGCGGCCTGATACTGTAAGATTGTAGGCTGCAGGTAGGTCAGAAACTTGACACGCGCTTCTTGCACCTGTTGTCTTGGGTACTCATCCTCTCTTGTTGTGTATAGGTTGCTATAGAAATTCATGGCCACTTGAAGCATCTCGTCCTTGTCAGAAGTTAGGCCGGCCAGTCCCTGTAACTGGCCAATGAGATTGTTCCTTCCTTTGGACTGAATTTTTTGGAAAAAGAATTTGGTCATTCTTTCCCCTTCCTTCCATTCCCTGACCCTGACCCTCATTTGCAGGCCTTTTGATTTCCAACGCTGCCATTCCGCCAATTCCTCCCTTGCTGCTTCAATTGTCCTTTCATATATGTCATTCCCAGGGAAGTTGATTATATTGTACTCTGCTAGCCTCATCGCTTGMTGCAACTCCTGCTCCCTTTCCCTTCTTCTAGCTGCCAATCGTCTAGCTACTCCTGACGAGGCTATGGAAAGTGCGTGAAGCAATTATGGGAAGGACCGCATATCCGAGTTATGTGCCTGACATACCTGTAGCACTGCCTGCCTCATTTCCGTGGTGCGCAGGAGTGAATTATTTACTTTATAAAAACCTTTACCCCTTTTGACCTGTTTGTCTGTTACCAGATAGAGGAAAATAGGCTTATGGTCCAGTCCTACCTCATATGGTAGATCTCCAATGCCCACTGAATGTATCATGCCCGTTACGCTTGACGATGTCAAAAAAAATCTATTATTGATGCTGAAACATGTTGACTGCGGTTCCTCTTTAGGTACGTAAACTGTCTATCCGCAGGGAACTGCAACCTGTATCTGTCCACCAGATCCCTACTTGTCATTATGCTGTGGATTGGCAATACTTCCTCCGCCAAGCCTTCTTCCCAGTGACTGTCTCCTGCAGGCAATCTATCCAAACTAGGATCTAAGGCCGCGTTCCAATCCACTGCCATTATTAAGCGCCTATCTGCCTCTAGGATGTCCTGAAGCTGTCCCACGAACTCTACCCTCTGCTGGAATCCGTTGGGACAATATACTGCTAACAATGTGTAAGGCTCCTCGTGGAACTCGAAATTAATTTTCACCCATCTTCCCTCCACTTCATCTATTGTAATGTTGTTCATGACCATCTTACCCGCTGCCTGTGATCTATTATTTTGAAGTATGGCCACCCCCGCTGAGTGAGGTCTGATCGTTGGTGCCCACCAAGCCTCCTTGACCCTCTGAAGCTTCTGCGTTATCCTATTTTTTGTTTGTTGATGTTTGTCTGAGCTTGTGAGGTGTGTTTCTAGAAAACATACGAAGTCTGGTGGAGAAATGTCGAACCAGTCCATATAATTGATTATATTCTGCCATTTGTCTTGATTGTCCAACACCCCTGCCAAGCCATTTACGTTCGACCATGTGATTTTAATTTCTGGGGGCGCATGACTCCCCTGTCCTCTCCTTGCCCGCTTCCTTGGTCTACCTTCCCCCCTATCCTCCATGAAATGACTGCCCTTGCCCTTTCCAATGGCCTCCTATTTAGTTCAAGAGTCCCGCATAACTATATCTATCATTGTTGACAACAGACCGATCCTCTTTTCCAAGAAATCCACGCGAAGGCGTCCACCTTGACTGCTACTGCTGCACTACGGGCCACCCATTCTGCTGCCACCTCCCCGCCCAACAACCCATAGGGGATGGTTTCCACCACCTGCCAAGGCATCCAGACCAGGCTCTCCCTCAAATCCGTCTTTTCCCTCATATGCATGAGCAGTGGTCTGAATTCAGCTGCTGGTTCCTCCCCTCCCGCTTCTGAGACTTCCATTGCCTCCTCCCGCCTATCCCCCAATACATAGGCCCGAGATGGTACTCCCTCTCCAATTAATTCCTACAAATCCTTGCCTGTGCAGGCATTGGCAGGAGCCGTGATAAGCTGGAGAGACCTGTGAATTGCTACTTCCCAATCCGAATGCTTTACATTCCATCGGCACGGTAAAATAACCCTCCTTCTAGCACCGTTCTTGGCCTCCAAACGTGTTGCAGCTTCAATCTCCTTCAACCGCCCTTCAGCTATTTTTTGCAGACTTATTGTCTCCTCCTCAAATTCTCTGTTCTCGTCCTTTAGTGCATTTACCTGGGCCTCCAACATTGCTGTTTGCCTCCGCAATTCCTGTTTTTCATATTCCTCCCCTTCCTCCTGTTGCTTATCCGCATCCTTCATAGGCTGGTCTTGTGTCCCCATTGATTGTTCCTCCCTGCTTCCATTCTCGTCCTCCCTTTGTGCCTTCCTCTTTCTGTTGGCTGCTTTGCTGCCCTTGTTCTGATAGGTCTTTGGCCATTGGAAGATTTTGGCATATTCTTCGTTCTGAATTTGAATGTCGTTCTTGATAGGGCGAGCTGTCCTCGCGTACTGAGCCGCATAAAATTCGTTCATCTCCCCTTCCCTTTTTAACAGCTCAAAACGGTTTTCAGAAGTAATGTCCTCCGCCACTTGGGTCGCCTGCTTCAAGTTCCTCAAGTGTTTATGATGAGCCAGCCTGATCTCACATTCGATTGTTCTCTCCCATTCCAGTTGTTCTACCGTCTGGACCCACTGTTCTAGCGTCATGTCCTCCTCCCCTGATTCTTCCTTCTCCTCTTCTTCCCCCGATGAGTCCTCATCGTCTGAGTCTGCAGTAAAATCTCGCTGGTCCTCCTCCGCCTGTTGTATTTCCTCTTCTGTCATATTTTCAATGTTGTGCATACGTTTTCTTCCCTCCTCCATGCTACCGGCTGGTGACTCTGCTGTGGTGGTTCCCGGGGATGCCTCTGTGGAATCACCTTGCTGACTGCTGGCCTCTCTGATTCCGCCGTTTCGCTCGCCTCTGTATTGCAAGTTTTGGTAGCCTTCTGCTGCTGGGATTGACCTTCTTGTTTGTCTACTCCCTCTTTCTCCCCTGAGGGACCTTTCCTCTTTAAGGATTGTTGTTGTTCGGTTGTGCTTTCCCCATCCTCCTCCTCACATTCCATGTTTTCTCCCTGTTCCTCCTCCATTTTTTCTGCGCTACCCTCTTGTCTTTCCTGCTGCTCTTGCTGCTGCTTCCTTGCTGCCAAATTTTCAAGAAAAACCAATTCTGCATTTTTCCCAAGCTCATGAAGGTCTTCCATGAGCTTCAACCTTTGCTGGTCATCCCATATCATCGTGTCATCAACCATTGGTTTCGTCAGATACCCTATCTCTTTATCCTCCATCCTCCTCGCTCCTGTCTGCCTCCACCTACTGTCGTGCGGAGGGTATATATCTGGTTTGACTGTGGGTTCTCTGTTAAGGACCCACACCCACCTTGGTGCCTCCAAGTTGTCATCAAATATCCACCCTCTATACTGTGGTGCGTTAATGTACCAGACCCCCGGCTTGGTTTCACACTCCTGCAACATAGACTGTCGCAGTGGCGTCTGTTTGTTGTCTGCCCCTCCCTGCGGACAAAAAGATCCCAGATGACCCCTTCCCCTACACTTGAAACAAAAAGGGTTTGTTTTGGTCGATATGAAAATTGTAATCCTCTGGCCGTTTTTCCTGAAGATCCATTGATCTAGAAACCTCGGCGGCGCACCTGATTTGACCTCCAAACATGCTACTCGCCAGTCGTGATTTGGTGCTAGGAAATCTGGATTTGCAGGGAGCCAGTCAATGATAGGATTATTAGGGAATTCTTCCACCAGCCTCTTTTGCACAAAAGTGTGCATTCCTTCGGACAAATTGTCAAATTGCACCCAGAAGTGATTTCTCATCATCGACTGTCTGCGCCTTGATGCCTCCGCCTGTGGGGGGCGTGGTGGTTTCCATGGCTGAATAGTTACCACTGTCCCCTTACATTTCAGCGAACCAATTGATACGAGGTATTGCGCGTACGTCGGGTCTGCACAGACAATCATGACAGAGAACCTTCCCCTCTTATGGTAGGAAACGTCCGGTTCCCCTCCTGGGATGTTTCCATTGCCCTGAGTTTGTCCATTACCCATCTTCGCTTCGCATTGAGCGAGAGATCCCTACTTCATCCTGAGAAATTAAACAGTACTGCATGCTTCTCATACAATTCGTTCAGTGTTTGAATATCTTCTTCAGGATATTCCCACACCTCCACCTCTTCTTCCTTCCCCCCCTCACCCTTGATTACCTCTTTCGTCACTTTGATTTCCGCTGTGATTTTCGTTTTTTCCATTAAAAATTCCATTGCCTTCTGTCCGAGTGTGCGCGGCTTCGAATCCCCTGTCTTGATGTTTGTCCCTGACTGTGATGCCGATTGAGATAGCTGCCTTCCAGTTAATGCCCCTTGGCTTTGGGTGAACTCTCTTTTCTCCCTTTCGCTCATGGCCCGCTGAGCTGCCGCCGCGTAAGAGATAGCCATAGTTGCCCCCCTTTGTTTCCTTGCTTGTCCACTTCCCCTCCCCCTGTGATTACTATCCCTTCCCCTGATCGTTCTTGACTTTTTACCTGCGTTTTACTTTTACGCCCGTTCCTCTTGTTTCCTCCTTTTTTTTTTT